ATTTGGGTGTACAAAATTACAATGTACTTGCGAATTACAAATCGCTAAAAGTAAGTATTCAACATTGCTTCTGATTTCCATTTTGCTGATCTTAGATCTGATTTAAATCAAACGAGTTTCATATGATTTTAAATCACGTGCAATTTTTCTAGTTTTTTTTGTCCCATACTGTATCTACTATATCAGCAAATTCACAGTCATCAAATTTAGAAATAAATATTATATCTGCAATATCGGTAAGCTCACAATAGTCAGATATAGAAATCAATTTTAAACAACACAAAATCAACAAATTTTTAGAGTATGTAATCGATTTACCAGATTTAGTTTTAAGTATAATTGAAAAACTTTCACAGGACCAATTTCGTCAACCACAATATTTAAAAATATGGGATGTATTATTGGACATAACAATAATTATGGATAATAATAAGTTGAGTTTTGGAGTATTTTTATTAAAACTTATGAGATATAATAAAGGACCTAAGTCAGGCAAGATTTTTTCAAAGCATTTATAACAAAAGGTATACGATTTTATTGAAAAGCTATTATATTATCCAAATAATAATATTAAATATAGAAAATCATCAAATCAGACAATTAATCGTTTAAAAAAAAATAAATCTCTAAATAGTAGAATTAGAAAATACAAGCAAGTATATAAAAAAAAATTTCTTTAGCTTATTTTGCAGCATATAAAACATCTATGATAACTAATAAACAATTGAAATTGGCTATTCAAGATTGGCTTATGACAAATAAAAAACAATATAATGCTAAAACTGTTTTAATAGCTATGCAAATTTGTGAAATTAGCAAAATATTTTACTGATCTGCAGTAACTTGCATAAAGAAAGTAATTGAATGGTTAATAGATGAAGAACCAAATAAATAGTTTTCTGCTAACACACTTGTTGGATAGTATAAAGATGTTTCGAATATTTATATAATCTAACAGTATACTGTTGCTAAAATATCTAAATAGTTTAATTTTGGAATTATGGCTAATGAGTTAACACGTAGTAATAGCAAAATCTTTGTTATATGTTTTATGTATTGGGATTTAAATATTAATGAACCAAAAGTTACCTTATTAGAACTCGAAGATTTAGCCCAATATTCAGGTGCATTAGTTGCAAGTACTATTATTAAAGCTTGCAACCAATATTAGTTAGATCTAATTAAATATTTAATATAGACAACTGACAACACGGTATATATATTGGTAAAAATATCAAATGTTTTTTATTATACAATTAAAAACAAGTGATAATTATATAATCTATATGTAAGAAAAGGTTGGGTATTATGCAGAGATGATGATTTTCTGTAGTAATAATTCTGCGATTATCTGCAAAATAATTTTTTTTGCAAATTTCTGCAATAAAAATTCTATTTTTGCAATTTTTTTTGGATCTTGATTAAATTTTAGATCAAATTCTGGTGAATTCAAAAGTTTTTGCAAATTCTGAAAATTATCGTCCATAGTATAGTACGTACATACATATGTATTTAGATATTATTGTTATAGCGCTATATATTTTTTTCCCTATTTGGACAGCTTATAACAAAATGATTATTAGTATATTATAATACTAATATCATAATATACCATAATTAAAAAAAAATACTGTATATGACTAAATATAAACTACCAAAATACTGCAGACTAAAGGAAGAGGTAAATTCTATTTAAGTCTAATTTTATTATTAAACAAGTGAGTTTTGAAAGTCTAGGATATCAAAAATATTTTAAACCTATTTTTTTTTTATCATCTCTAATGTTAGATCACAAAAATGATACTGTCATCTTATTTAATAAAGAAGTTAACTCCAATTTATTCTGAATTTCTTGTGGACTTCACATAGCATACATCATGATGACAAATTTTAAAAATACTGCTTTTGGAAAGTTAAAGGTTGAAAAAGAGTTTTTTACCTAAAAGCATCTGTTTAATTTACTTTACCTTATTTAAAAGTTACATAATAGCTATAGCAAAAGTAACAAGGATAATCTAATAAATATGAAGTCTTTATATATTTTTGATCTATACTTTAAACTCTTCGGCATTCGATTATTTAAGTTTCAAAAGCCCTTACAATAGTGATAGTTGTATAAATTACAAGCAGCAAGACAACTTGTTAAAAAAAGAAAATTTTTAGAAAAATTTTCTTCCTGGTTTTTGAACAATTTAAAATTACAAAAAAAAATTCCTAAAACATATTTTGAAAAGTGAGAACTTCTTTATAAATGGCTTAGAGATCTATATTTAAAATACAAGTCAAATGTCTTGTAAAATTTGGTAAAGTAATTTATAAACTGATAATAAATTTTTTTATCAGATTTGACAAGAAGCCACGAGTTCTTCAACCTGATGGTCAATTATCACCACTTCTACCTGATCAACAGGCCTATGAGATGTTTAATCTATTTATTAAATAGATAAAAAATTTATATAGTATTAAAGATAATATATATTTATTTTTTAATATGGAGTTATGGAATGCTACTAATATTTTGAATAATAAAGATTTTAAAAATTTTTTTAATAATTTGAAATTTGGCATTGATAAGACTATAAATTCTTTAGACAATTAGATGAATATGTGGCTTCATCTTTGATTAAGTGTGTACTGATTAGGTGATAAAGACAGTCATAAATTTGCTAGAAGCTATCTAAATATAAGATTAAAAAAACAACAAAACCAA